TTAATCTGATTAAAATAACCATCCCTTGACATTTTTATATTATCAAAATTGGAATATTTTTTACCAAATTTCTCCTTTAAAGATACCTTATGCAAAAGCCAATGAAAATGTGAAGCCTCACCATAAATGTTTCCCATCATTGGGGCTTCTTCAGATAAGATCCCCGTTCGGTGACTGATTTACAAGAGACTTGCCGCGAAGCCAGGAATGCAAAAACATATTTTCCGGGTGGGGAAAGAAGTGAAGGAGGGGATTCCGGCAGACTTTGACATTTGAATACGCGTGAGCGCTTTGTTATTTTTATATTTTCAAATTAAAAAAGCAAAGGCGCGCGGCGCTGTATTTTTGCCGCCCAACGGAGGGAGGGAAGGTGAGGTCGAGGGGTGGCAAAATCGTACTTGTACTCCGTGCCACGGGGTTTGTCATCATTTCGCGGGCTGACTGGTGCGCGTGAGAAATCCTTGACACGCGCGAACGCTTTCGAAATGCAAAAATAAATAATTTCAATTTAAATTCTTGTTATTTTATTTTTGTTTTCTTTTTTAGAGCTTTGTTTTTCTTTGACTGCGTGCGGGCGTGAGGACGGGCGGGAGGTGCAGTTGTAGATGGAAGCGAAACATAAGTTTTCCCTTTGTTTTCCCTCTGATTTCAGTCGCCAAACAAGGGTGGCCCGGCACCACATCATCTATGTATCTTCCTATCTAACCTCCCCTGTCAAAATTTTGGGGTGGTGAAATTAATTAGATTTCGCGAGGGTGGAGTGGGAGGTTAAGTCCACGCCGAACAAATTATGAATTTCTTAAAGGAAAGGAACCCTAATTATGTGTTAGGAAATGCTATAATTTAAACTAAAAATGTGCCCTGATTTACTATTTGGATAAGCTTCTTAAGTATCTTTATCCACTTTCGAAAGTTCTTTAAAGCCGTGACCACTGACCAGCGCAAGCCTTCGCCTGCCTTTAATTTCGCCATTAAATGCTTAACTTTTACAGCCCACAGTAAGCCGACCAACCGAACTGGCTACTGTACGGATTTCGCTGAACTGTTATTGTTAATTTTTAATAGTTTATTGTTTATTGTTTGTCGAAGCGTTGCAGCGCTGTCCGTGAGTAGCCAGCACTACAGCGCCTTTGCCCTTCAGTTTTCCCCCGACCGCAAGCTCCATCGAAAGTGGTCGGCTATCAGTTACTGTGGCTGCGGCTAAGCCAGCTTGTCAATTTTGTATAAAATTTATTATTTTATTTGCGTCAGGTTTGCCACTTTGTTTTGCCACTTTTCAGACGCTCCGCTGCCTGCTGCTGCCGCCTGCTTTCCTGCTTTCCTGTTTTCCAGTCTAACTGCTTTCTGTTCGATTTTGGGTTGCTGTGAAATTATTTACATTTTGCTGATTGCGCCGGGTTTTGCATTGCCCCTCGGCTGGGGGGTTTGCCAGTCATAAAGCGAACTGTTTGCCCTCGCCTCGTACTCGAAATCGCACAAGTATATATGCGACAAAATATCTCTATATATATATATATGTGTATAGTGGGCCCTGGAGAGAGCCATAAAACTTGCAATGCAATTGCACAGCCACACATGTTTGCTCAATTTACGATCGCAGTCGCTGACGGAGGTGGCAATCGACAACTGTTGCATGTGGCTCCAAACCGACCAGGGTCGTTGCTGGCCGAAGATCGAACATAATCTCACTTAACCGGAGAACTAATCAAAATTGGCAGCTGATTGTCGGCTGACTCAGAGTCATATGATGATGTCGCAGGGCGATGACAGCCAACGGCCACCTCATTGACAGCAAAAAGAACAATATATTTATAGGAAAAAAAACTTGGAGAAACCATGCAGATAGCCAGGGAGGGGTGCCCAACTTGGCAACGCTGCGTATGAGTAATGCAGAAGCAGCGATCCACAAATGGCTGGCAAAAACTCAACGACGACGGCAAATGAAGCAACAAAATTCAGCAGCAGCAGCCGCAGATTAAGAACCTTTTAAGGGGATTAATGATTTTAATTTTTTCCGTGCATTCTGTTTGCCTTGTTTCCGTTTTTCTGACAATTTTCCTCCCTCGGGGCGTATCAACTTGGCGGTTGACTTTGAGAAAAAAGATTGGAGTAGGTTGAGAGAGTAGAAATAAATACTTAAGATTGTTGTTGTACCCTTCTGAGCTCTTAACATAGTTGAAGCTATGATGTAATGTATAATTATTAAAATTATAAAATAAAGTTTACCTTTCTGATTACTGAAAGTAGTCCGCCTAAACAAGTTTTAGAACTAGTAGTCAATGGCAGAAATGAACTAGTAATTAAATCAAAAATAAAGCTAAGAAATGATTGAAACTTATCAAACAGATAAAGGGAAAAGCATGTTGTAAAAGCGCATTTGAAGTCGATTTAAATATTACTGCGCTCAGCAGGGTATTAGCCCCATCGACCTTCAGGCAGCCAATTTGGGCTATTTTTTCTGGCACTCTGTGGACTGGTTTTGGTTCATGTTGCTGGGACATTTGTTTGCTTTGCCATTGCCATTGGCCTGGCTAAATGCCAGGCAAGGACATGCATGGCCAGCTCGCTTTTGGATGGCAACACGACGGGCACTTCCTCTTCCGCTCCCCAACCACCCTGGCCTTTTCCGGTTTGTTTGTTGCGCGCATTAAGCTAATTATGGCCAAATAAAGTGAGACGAAACGCAGCGCGCGCTCTGAGCAAACAGGAGACTGTATCCGTATCCTCAATCCCATGTCCTGTTTCCTGTATCCTGGATCCTGTGTCCTCGGATGCATGCCGGCACTTAACTTTCACTGCTCTCCTCTCTCTGCGGCTGGGTTTTTTGATTGTTTTTCAATTTTCTGCATTGTTAAACTTTTGCTTCCCATGTTGCGCCTTGTTTAATTTGCCGCCTGTGGCACGTGACAGCGGCGTTGGCAAGTGCACCAACCACCCATCCGCCCATCACCACCCGGCACGTGTCCTTGGTGGAGAACCAGGAGCCAGAATTTCCCAATTTCTGAGTTTCGCCAACCCAGCAGAGGCAGCTGTTTAATGGCTGCCTGCCTCTGGCAAATATTTTGCTTGTGCTACAACCAAATCAATTTTGTATGCTCTCCCAAATGGAATACGAATTCGAGTTTGCCAGTGTCCTTGCACCACCACTAGTTCATCCTCCATTCTCCATCCTCCTCCCGAAACTGGTGGTCACGTGCCGCTCCAGTCGCGCCTCTTTCGCTTTGTGTGCTAATCTATCAAAGGCGCTGGCAGCAAACCAAATTGAGTTTGTTTGGATATCATTTCCATTGGCCAGGACACGGACTCGCAGAAGAAACGGCAACAGGAGCAGGACTCTACCTGCCACACAAGCGGATAGACTCTTCTGCCACTTGTGGTCCGTGGTGAAACTTTTCCTTTGCCCGCACTGGGAGAAATTAATTACTTCATTAAGAGAGACTCTAACCCAAACATTGAAATATTAGTTTTAGGATCTGTAATCATAACTTTGATTGATTCAATAAAAAGAAAAAAAATAAAAATATGACGTTTCTTTTTTTTCTTTATCAAACTATTCAGAATCCTTTTCAGCATCTTCTAAAGTTGATCACAATTTTTCCCAGTGCATCGGCCTTCCCTTTTTCCCACAATTTCCGGACGCGTTGACGTCAATCAAATTAGACCCATCCCCGGGCGTCCTGCGCCGGCCAAAGTTCACACATCAAATTATGTCAGGGTGGGTCGGACCTCCCCCTTCTGGCGACAGGATAACGTCGTTGCTAACTTGCGATTTGCGTTTGTAAATGTTTTTCTAATCAGATTTGTGTGCTATCCACGAGGGAGTGCAATTTGTTTTGATGTCGCAGGCGCAATCCGGTTAAGTGACATCCGGAAAGGAGAGGGACGGGGAGTACGCATAATTACCCAGGGGCTGGGATAGCATATGCCGTACGGAAGACTCTCCGGATAGTTGGCTGGCCAAACTTCCGTTCACATGACACACATAACCGACTCGGTCACTGGCCAATTGGCCAATTGTGATCGATTGGTTTTAAAGTCCGGCCGTAAACTAAAGCAAACAATAATCGCTGGCATTGTAAATGCATAAACCCGCGTATAAAAGTGCGGTTGCAGTGGCAATCGATTTATTGCCCCGCCTCGTAAGTGGGTGACTTTTTCGCCAGACTTCGATAGGGATCCTCGCGATTTCAGGGCCACTTCTCCGCCCGTTTTCACCCAGCCAGCGTAGATCACCCTTTTACCTGGCCACAGTTTTCTAGCTCGGGAATTACTTTTTAAGCCCTTTTGCGTTCCGAGGATTTTGATTGCATTTGCGAAGATTTTGCCATTCTAATTGATTGTTTGCCCCTTCCCATTCCCATTCCCATTCCGGCGGAGGAGTCGTCATTGGTCGCTTATCACCGCCGGTTATCGATCTAGCTATCTGTCTATCTATCGAACTATCTATCTGGCCAGCTATCTATCTTTCCCTGCTCCGATTCGAGTTATCTAACGGCGACCCGGGAAATATGCGCATAATATCCATTTAGATATAGACACCTACCACCAATGGCCGGCCACCGCACCACCCATTTGTTTGCCCGTCGCATTTATTTGTGCATTACAAACTCTGAGCCACTTAAGTTGCCTCTAAGCTCTGGCGCCGCTCCATTTCGCAAAAAAGGAAAAATCCGATACAAGAAAATAGAAATTATGGAAAAGGGCACAGGCACTCGCATAGATGTCCGTACATAGTTCGTAAAGGCAGGGAAGGAGCGCAGACGAATGGCGCCATTCGATGATATCCACTGCGTGGCCATTAGACTGAGAGTGCTTATTTCCAGGTCACTGATCGCTCCAATTAAAAATTTAGTTAATTGCTTTAATACGCCGTTTAAATGTCATTTTGGATCTAATCAAAAACAATTTTCATAAAAACATTAAATTGTTTTTGAAATAACCACCATCCATAAGCCATGAAATGTTTGCTTTTCAGTTAAGTTTAGCCTCTGACCCTCGAAATGCGAGTTGGCTTTATTCTCCAGGTGCAGGTCATTGTGGCCCTTGGCGCCCTAACGTCAGTAAGAGGAATCCCAATAACTCTTTTAAGAGTCACGTTAACATCTGCCCCCTTTAGGTCCATTCAAAATTGGAGTTAACGAACATTAAATGCATTTCCCACGACCCCGACTTCGCAGGGTTCGAGTACTGCCTTCTGAAGTCGATCAACAGGAGCTACAAATACTTGTCACTGAAAGTGAAACTCTTTAAAGTTCCCATCACCGATATCAAAGTGCGTAAATAAAAGCTGTGGTCATATATTAAGGCTTAAGAAAGCTGATTTCTTCCAGGTGAACTTAGCCTTGGCCAAGAAGTCAAGTGGCTATAATCCTTTTCTCTACAACATCACCGTGGATGCCTGCAGATTCTTAAAGTACCCGAAATCAAACCCCGTCATCGGGTATATGTACGACTTCTTCAGAGCCCATTCCAATATGAATCATACTTGCCCTTACGATGTGAGTTTTGAACTTCTTTTTCGGTGTTAAAGCCATATATTTTGTCTCATTGCAGCACGATCTTTTGGTGGACAAGGTCACTACCAATTTTATCAATAAACATGTGACGGAGGTCCTACCATTTCCTGAAGGCGAATTCCGCTTCAGATCCCACTGGATAGCCTATGGCATTCTTCGAGCAACTGCATCGGTTTATGCCACATTATCCTGATGGAAGAAGGACTCCATGAAGGATAAATTCGTGCATCACAATGAGGTGTTTGATGGCCCAACTTAATAACTTAATATCAGAATAAAAATAATGAGTCATATCACCCAAACTAATCTAAATTGTTTTAAATGCTTTATAAGAGTTTCGTGTACATAATTGCTGCTGGATAGTTGGCTGATTTCTGGTTTTCTGGTAACTCTTTTGTGGCAGACATCGAACCGGCACAGTCTGACTGATAAAATTTCGCAACATTAGTAACAATGTACTCGAAGGGTGTTCTTTTATGCATTTTAATATTTTACTTTGTGAAAAGTGTGAGTAGTTATCCAGAAGGGAATATTTTTAGTTAAGCAATTTATCTTCATAGGCCACTGCCAAGATAGAATTCACCAATATCAAATGCACTTCCCTGGATAAGGATTTCGCTGACTTCGAGTATTGCCGCATTAAATCTGTGAATCGTACTTACAAATATATATCGCTTAAAGTCAAACTATTCAAGATCCCCATTGCCAAAGTGAAGGTAAGGTCACAGCCTGCAGGTTCCTACTCATTGAATGCGTCCACTTCCAGGTTAACTTTGCCTTGCTCAAGAGATTCAGTGGATACAAGCCCTTTCTATATAACATCACCGTGGACGCCTGTAAAATTCTAAAATATCCAAAGTCAAATCCAGTCTTCGGCTTTTTTCACAGTCTCTTTCGAGAGCATTCCAACATGAACCACACCTGCCCCTTTGATGTGAGTGGAACCCTTTGGAACACTAGCTAGTAGTTCCGCTATTAACAGAAAACTTTTCATTTCAGCACGATATCATTTTGGACAAGCTCTCCACCGACTTTGTAAACACGAAATTCACGAAGGTTTTGCCGTTTCCTAACGGAGATTACCTCTTCCACTCCAAATGGATGGCGGATGATGTAGTTCGGGCAGAGGTTGGGGTCTACGGTACTCTTTCGTCAGACAATTAAAATGTTCGGTGGCTAGAAACTATGAAAAGTATCATCGTTAATTTTAATGTGGATAGTTCTGACTAAACTAATACTTATGATAAAGTCATGAACCGGAAAGAAGTATTTTTTGACTCTATAATACTCCACTACGCGGGATTCCCGAAATTCACAAATTCGAAATGTTCTATCAATATTTTTAAAATTGAGTATAGATCATTGTAATATTCACATAACGGCGAGTCTAGATTGTTTTTAATTATTTTTTAACAGCTAATTGCACCTGAGTGGTTATGGGGATAGCACCAAACATTCTCCCCTTAATAAATGCAAATTTAAAATCAAATCAATTGAAATACTAACTCTTCGGAAAGGGTTCTTCTGTGTAACATTCGCTCTTTATAACTGCAATCTACTGAATGAACATTATTTATTCCAACATTTTTATGTTATTGATTACTTTAACAAGTTAGTCGTGGAATCAATAAAGGCATTTCCAGTAAACGTGGATCGGACGTCTAATTCCAATTTAACGAGCAACCTCATTTGATCCTCATAGATAGACTAAATCAAAAATGTAATTCTGAAATCAATGACCCAGCTTGTTTATTGTATTTACAAGCCTAGAACCGAAACATCCATTGAAAGCCTAACTGCGAGGCACAACATGAGCTTAAGCCTTCGCTGGGTAGAACTCATAGTTCTTCTGTATACATTTAAAGAGTTGTGACGATCCTGTAAACGAATAAAATGCTAATAACTATATTTCAGATCACGTCTAAGGTGGAGTTCACCAACATTGTTTGCACTGATTTGGACCCAGAGTTCTGCCAATTCGAGTACTGTCGACTGAAGTCTGTGAATCGCACGTATAAGTACTTTTCCGTGAAAGCGATCATGCATAAAAAACCTATTACGAAAACCGAAGTTCGTATACTAACAGGCTCGATTGATGTGAGTGTGTTTTAAGCTGATTTCGTTTCAGGTTAACTTAGAATTGAAGAAGCGATTTAGTGGCTATAAGCTCTTTCTCTACAATGTAACTGTGGACGGCTGTCGGTTTCTGAGGAACACCAAGTCTAGCCCCATTGCCCAGTATTTCTATAACATGTTCAAGGAGTACTCCAATCTCAACCACTCTTGTCCCTTTAATGTAAGTAAACTTAAGTTTTATATCTGACTTTAGTTTTCTGTCCTCCCAGCATGACTTAATGGTTGAAAAACTTTCGGTCAGCTACGTAAACACCCACCTTACTGACGTCTTGCCCTTCCCCATCGGAGATTACCTCTTCGAATCGAACTGGATTGCTTATGGAATCAATCGTGCTAATATCAAAGTATATCTTACACTTTCATAAATGTATTATTAGTGTAATGGCTGAATGACTGCAGGTCATCAAGAACATTACATTTTTATATTTTTATCAAAACAAGAAATAAACTATAGCAATTACCCTGCAAATGATATCAAAATATTCGTTCATAATGCTTCCCATCACCAGCTCCAATAGACCATGTCAGATTAAAATGGCATTATTGTACATTTATATCGGATGTTACTATGATCAAAACACTTTATTTAGGCAGTGCTTGATCGAATCTCTTGAAGCCAGCAACTTTATAGCTTCTGACAATGTGCAAATATACAAGTACAAGGCTGTGTCAAATCATTTTGATCCTATATTTGATCCAGGGAGTAAGCAAAGTCTATAGTTAGTAGAAATACCAAAAGACACTCATATTTGCTTTTAAAGATCGCTCCACTGGTGGTGTTCACGAATGTCAAGTGCACTTCCTGGGACAAGGACTTTGATGACTTTGAGTACTGCCACCTGAAGTCCCAGAATCGGAGCTTTAAGTACTTGTCGCTGAAAGTTAAGCTGTACAAAGTTCCCATAACGAAAGTGATGGTTTGTAATAAACTAATTTGAATCAATATATAAATCATTTATTTATTTATCTTTTCCAGGTTAATTTTGCTTTGCTTAAGCGTTTCAATGGCTACAAGCCCTTCCTCTACAACATCACTGTCGATGCCTGCAAACTCCTGAAGTACCCCAAGTCGAATCCCGTTTTTGGGTTCTTTCACGGACTCTTTAATAAGCACTCCAACATGAACCACACTTGCCCCTATGATGTAAGTTTAGACTTAGTTATTGTGATCAGTAACACACCTTCCTTTACTTCCAGCATGATCTCATTGTTGATAAGCTCCCTACCACTTTTATGAACCAGCAAATGTCCGGCGTGCTCAACTTTCCCAAAGGCGACTACCAATTCCACTCGGATTGGCTTGCATACGGAGTTAACAGGGCCACCGTGGACTTCTTTTACACACTTTCCTGAATTATGGCCTCTGACTGGCCTACTAAATAATCGATCTTTATTATCTTCTTACCGTAAAGCGATCTTTTCATTATAATCCAATCACCTAATGGCTAATGGTGCACTAGAAAACGTTTTCTTTTTATCACATAAAACTCTGGGATATACAAAATTATTCGATGAGGTTTATTCTTAGGCTAAGAAGTATTGCAGGGGTTACAAAGTTTAACATAAACTAATCTCTAGACCTACTAATCCGGCGAACTCTAATTATTTACAGTGTACTTTGGAACGAAGCGATTGGGGGAGTTTCGTTTCAAGGGAAGCAGCTCCTTAGTCCCTTGGGGTAATCTTGACCCTAAGGCCGTCCTTGGGCCGAAGGATTAGTTCGCCCAGCAGTGTGAGATCCTCCCGGCGATCCACGGCCTCAATCTTGTATTTTCTCAGAACCGTGGAGATCACGGCCTTCTCCTCCAGAATGGCGAACTTCTGGCCAATGCAGTTACGCGGTCCGGCGCTGAAGGGAATGTAAGCGAAGGGGTGGCGTCCGGCACAGTTTTCCGGCAGGAAGTTGTCGGGGTTGAACTGCTCCGGCTTGGGGAAAACTCTCGGGTTGCGGTGCAGGGCATAGGTCATTATGATGGCCTGAGTTCCAGCGGGAACGACTTTTCCACCTGTTTTAGCAGGAAAATCGAGAAAATATGTAAATTTCGCTTCAAATTTCACAAATTCTTCTAAAACCTGCTTACCAATATTCACATCCTCGCCCACCATCCTCGCCATCATCGGCACACTGGGAAACAGGCGCAGCGAGTCCTTGATGCAGCACTCCAGGTATCGCATATCCAGCAGGTTCTTCATGGTGGCCGGTGTCTCCTTGTCGTCCCCAAAGATCGAGTCCAGTTCCTCCACCACGCGCTCCTGATATTCTGGATGGCAGCCCAGCAAGAAAAGCGTCCAGGAAATAGCCGCCGAGGTGGTGTCATGGCCCTCGAACATGAAAGTGTCAACCTCCTCGCGAATGTCCTCCTAAAGAAGGGTAAGAAAGTGCCATATAAGTTATATATTTCAAAACTGAAATCCCAAGTTCTTACATTCGACAGCACAGTTCCTTCCTTAGAGGCGTCGATCAGGAGGTCAAGGAAAGCCAGACGCTTCTTCTTACCCAGATCGTCGTAGGCATCGGGGGCATTATTGTTGTTGTTGTTATTGTTCTCCTGGAGAATGGCCAACTCAGCTTTCCTTTCACGGATCACCATGTTGGAGAAGCCATGCAGAGTGCTTATGTAACTCTGGTGGAGCTTGTAGTCCGCAGTCAGGCTGAAAATGAAGTCGCTCTGCAGCCAAATCTTCGCCTGACGACTCTGCACAATCGATCCAATTCTAAGGATATAATCACAATATTTGTATTATATTAAATATTTAGTAATATTTAACTTTCGTCAAAGAGTGTATGTGAAATGGGAAAGTGTTGCGTTAAATTGAAAGTTAGTCAACTGTTCAATGGGTGTGTTCTATGGGGCGTGGCTGGCGTAGAAGTGTGGGTCTGATGCTGTCTGTTATCAGCTTGGAAGCACTTCAAGCGTCCCATTGACATCTTAATCTCGCATATTTTGCGCTTGGATGCACCACCACCCACTGGCTCACGCACAGGGCAGGAAGTGGGTGAAAATGGGGGGGAAATGGGTTCATGAGGTGGAAGGACATGTGTATCTAAAGGGTGTCTCTTCAGCTGACAGCTGTTCTGACAGCTCTCGATATTAAACTGCTGCCACAACGCTGATAACTCTTCGGCAAATGAGGAAGAGTTGCGTCTGCCATTGATGTTATTATTCCCAGTGGTCGCCGTGTTTTATGATATATTTTATTAATGCAGACAGAGAGAAATTTACTGGGTTATGGGTCACGATTGGAAAGCAAATGGTATATATCTGGATAACAATAAGACTATAGAAAGAGGAGATGTATTCTGTATTTCAGGAAGCTGAATTTCACATATAGCGTAGTTCTTAAAAGTATGCAACGAAAACGGTTACATGACTGAACCGCTCTAACATGTTTTATTGCATAATTCTAGGCTTGCAGTAATAAAGTAGATTGATAGACAAATTGTGAATTTTATATACAAAACAGTTTAAGTAGTTTTAAGTTTGCTAAATCCCAAAACCGAATACTTATGTCAACTTGCAACAAGTTCAATAGTTGAATAAAACTTTAAAAAAGTAAAACGCACTACTGTCTACCATAGCTTTATGGGAAACTATTCATATTGAAATTTTGCTCTAGATCACTAACAATTTGGTTCAAACTCAATCAATAGCCATTTAAGCCATTTGTGTTGCACGAAATATTCATAAACAATTTTTATAAAGCAGACAGTGATTTAATTTTGAAGTGCAGAAGTAATTCGAACAATTTGTTAACCAATCAGACACACAAAAGGAAATGGCTTTGAATGGCTAATAACAATTTGAACCAATTTCTATTAAAAATATAATAGAGGCATGATTATATTGCTCAGATATTTATTTTTATGTGCCTTTCATGACTGCAATCGAAAACATATCAACTAATCTTTCACACTTAGCGGCAGCTTGAAAAAGATGAAAAGCCAATGGCTGCAAAATGATTATAAGTAATGGCCAACATTTTCAATCACAACAAAACCATTTAGCAATATCAATCAATGGCAGGAAGTTCTTTTGATTTCAGAATAATGTATTATCTTATACTTTCAAGAAATAAATAATATCTTACCCATAGACCGCCTTCACGTACTCCGATTCACTATTGCTCTGGGCAAATATTTTGCGACCCATGGCGGTTTCTGTAACAGAATGACGTATGCAATTAGCCACGAATAATGTCACCCGATCTGCAGCATATACCCGATCTCGGCGGCATTGACACTCACCACAAACAATGTCCAAGGTGCAGAGCGTGACGTAGGGGAACAGGTTGAACGCCTCGCTGCCCACTTCCACTGCCAACTTTCTGGCCAAGACTGCGCTCTGCTCGTTGAACACATCAATGAAGTCGTCCAAGATTTTGAAGTGGAAGGCGGGCGTGAGGATCTGCAATAGAAGTTTTTAGGAAAAGGACTCTATTTATCTAAGTCTTGTATACCCACCTTCCTGCGGGAGTGCCACTTGCGGTCGGTGCTGGTGAGCAGACCCTCTCCCAGCCACGGATGCAGATAGTCGTAGTCGTGGCTCTTGTTCACGAACTTCTGGCTGTTCAGTATGGGCTTAAATTAAAACGATACTAAATCAGCCTTGATAAGCATAAGGAAACCTAGGGAAAGACTTACCTCCACGGTTTCGGGCTCGAAGAGAAGCACTCGTGGCGCTGTTCCCTGCCAAACTCGATTGATTCCGATTCGCGTGCCCCACAATTTCTGCATGCCGATGACGCGGTTAAATAGCTCTGCAAAAATAATAGGAGTTGGCCAAAAACCAGTTTATTGGATGGTTCGAACAACATGGGTGGGAGAACGATTTGCGTCAGCATTTCTGTTATCACTTTGGCTTCATTCATTTGAAGGAAATTCGTTTTTTATTTCGTATTTCCCAGACATCGCGGTAATTATTTTCGCTTCGCTGCTGCCCCTTCGCCGACCCCTTGAAGGTCGCCTCAATTGCTTTCTTCGTGGCCCAGTTAATAAGCCGGGGCTTTTCTCAGCCGAGTCCGAGTCCGAGACCGAAGCTGAAACTTTGGCCAAAACAGACCCGACCGGAGGCACGTTACTCATAGATAAAACCATGTAAACATGTTTAGGTGTCGCAGCCCGTATGTGTTGCATTAATTAAAAGATGAAACACACAACGCAAACAGCGATGCGCGGCCATTCAGCAATCTCTAATAATGATTTTATGTAACCCCACCGCCCGAAAAGCGAATCGCAGTTTCGCGACCACTTCTCATTTCTCAGGCGGGGCGTTTCGCAGCTGAGTTCGACTGCCCAGCGTCGCTCTTTCATCGGAAGTTGGGAGATGGAAGTTGCCAGCGAACTGCGAGCTGACCAAAACAAAGCACTTTTCATGCAATCTCTTTTGCCGGTTGATGGGTCCCTTCATTACCATTTCGGCAGGTCTATTTGTCGGTCATTCAAGTAGTCTTTTAGGTAATTATTATTAAGCGTAGAGACAACAAATTATCTATTAAATTTACTTTAATTATATGTTAATTTATTGAGGCTATTAGCTTGTAGGTGACATGAACAATTATTTGTAGAAAAGGAAAGTGATATTATTGTGTCCAGAACAAAGATCAGCGTTGAAAATGTGTGGCTAAACCTTAGCCCAGCTGACACACCTTAGAATGTGCAATTTGATACTAAAGAGGTGGTATCTGTTATGAAAACAAAACTATTTACTCTACGCCAGGTGTATATCTGCTACCCAGCCTAGGGAAGTTTCCCTTTTCATCTAATATTCACAGATATACGTCAGCGGCGTAGACTCAAAATTACTCTGGCAATTTGAAATAATTTGCGTCTATGACAATTTTCTTGGCTGACATTGGTAGTGGAGATTAAAAAGCAGTTACCAGATGGAGAGACAGAAAACCCAAAAACACCCACCAACGGTTAGGAAAATAAAACCATGACCCCCGTTTTGTTGGCAATAGAACTCAGAAAACTTAGAAAAGTCAGAACTGGAAACCCGTTTGAGCCTTGGCAACACTCCACATCATTCCACTCCAAATGCTGGCGAGCTGCCTCTTCAACAGCCCGAGGTATCTTGGAAAATATACGATCAAGAACCGCTTGACCTTCAGCCAGAGTTGCTGCAACATCATATTTCATTTTAATTTTCAGTTTTTAGCATCTAACAAAAGCCTCGTAATTGCGCAGGCAAACACAGAGCGGCCATTTCGAGATTCGTTCTTAAATTAAATTATAAAAAATTAATAAAACCCAGTGGCTGCTAATCGGTCCATAAATTATATGCAGCTTGCCAGATTGCTGGATTGCCTTGGCAGAAATATTCTTGAGCAAGTCATTTGATTATATGGCGACC